ATTTTTCTGAATTGCCCATATCCAGTATATTCTCCTCTCTACCTGGAGATAGGACAGTGCATCAATGGAGTTTATACTGCAAACTCCTCTTTCTCCTCCCTTCCAGAATACACTCTTATGTCAATGTTAGCGGCTTGAGGGCAGTAGAAGTGTGAGAGAGAGGTGCAGTATAGAGCTAATGGTGATGACATCGTGGGCGTTTAAGGATCATAATAATATCTCTTTTTCAGACATCTACGACGCCATAGAATATGGGTTTGAGCTTTCTTGTTCAAAACTCAGTGTGAAAATTGCGAGCTGGGAAATTGCTTCCTTCAAGACGACAATCAGAAAGTTTGCGTCAGAGTTGGTTATTGCTCCTTTCTTGGAATGGCAATAAATACCAGAGTGCCATTGCGTCTGTCGTTCATTGTGGCGTCAATGAGTCTATTATTCGATGCTGTGCCATTCAGGATATCCACCGATTGCGGTAAGAAATCGAAAAATAGAAATATATGTGTGTGTGTGTGTTACTCTAATTTCTCCTCGCCTTTACCTGATCGATTTCTTTAGAGACTAATGGGTAATTTCACGTAATCTGTAGGAGAGTGTACAGTTGTGGGTTGGACTAGACAGATTTAAGAGGGGGTAATTTTGAAAAAACATTATTGACTAATGACATATTGATAGAACTTCAAAATCTATTATAGAATATCATCAAAATTCACGGCAATTTTTTTGGAACCTAACATTATGGAGCAATGTGTTACAAAAAATCAAACTTCAAAGAATAACAGTATTAATTTTCCTACCTTGTTCACCTAATTAAATGAAAAAATTGAGAAACTAAATGAGCATCTCAAATGATTTTAAACTGAATAATATATAACAGAATACGTAGAAAGACAGATCAATTTAGCTTATTAGATCATAACATGCTAGCAGTGTCCCATAAAGCTGTATTATGTAACAAAAACCTTGTTACAAATTCTGATGGGATTATTTCCGGTTTAAATTTCCCCTTTTTAATATGTTTTATTGTTTTATTCTCTGATGGTAATCTTTACATGAACAATACAGGCACCAAGGAAATTTTTTGGCCATCTTTTACTGTAAGTATTCTTTCTTTTTCTCTACATGTTTATTTCTCTACCACCTAGGCAGATTCCAACATGACTTAACTTGGAACATATAAATTGGTGAAACGTACGCTAGCACTACATCCCAAGTTCAACTCTCCTAACCATATAAATTTCTAATTAAATTGGTGCATGCGATCACCAGGTGATTTATGTGTACTCAAATAATTGTTTTATGGCCATGTGTCCAAAAGATGGGTGATTGGATGTTTTCCCTTTACATGGGGAAGAAAAAAGCTAAATATGACTTGGGGCCTAAAGCCTAGACAATGGTCCAAACGAAAATTGTTAAGCATGGGCTCAACCCTGCCCTGCAATATATGTAAACTATGTTACTTGCAAAGCTGAATTTGACTCATGCTTATCAACTTATACACATGATCCTCTTGTTTTAATTACTTTTGTGGCATTTTTGCAGATATCCTGCTAGCCATTATGTTTATCGTAGGTAAGCCCCTGCATCTTTTCTAATTTAATTATTAATATATGTTCTACAGTAGACACAACTGCTTTGATACTTTTGAAGGAATGAAAATAAGAGAAATAGAAACCAAAAAAAGAGGGAAACCTAACCCATTCATTGAATAAAAAGTGAACAGAGACAGTGAAGGAACGTACAAAAAGATTTTTGAGTTCCTCAGTCTTCAAATTATGTTACTTTAGCCAACTGTGTAGGTGGTAATCACGTAGAGAATTGATGTGTTTTGTGCTGCACATACCAAATAAGTAGGGTATAAAAAAGGCCTACGTTTAGAAGTTTTTTCAACTAAGAACCATGGTTATAGTAAGGGTGAGTCTTGACGTAGCTATAAGGTTGATCCATTTGTGACCTGAGCGTTACGGGTTCGAATCAAAGGAATAGTCTCTTTGCATGTGGGGTAAAGCTGTGTACACATGCCCCTCTTTAGATCCTACAGTAGTACAAGAGCAGTGCACTAGACTGCTCGTCTTTAACCATGGTTCTAATGATACAGCACCGGATCAGTTTCTCATGGCTTTCCTCTTAATTTTCTTGCACAGGACTGCACATTGTAGCAAAATTTCTGATTGGGTTACCAAGCATATTTGTGTTCATAATCTATAAACTGCGAAGAAGGCATTTGTCGATGTTTGATGCAATTGAAAGGTTTCTCCAAAGTCAGAATAACCTCATGCCCATTAGGTACTCCTATTCAGAGGTTAAAAAGATGACAAAAGGCTTCAAGGACAAATTGGGTGAAGGGGGTTATGGTACTGTGTACAAAGGAAAGCTTCGAAGTGGCCGACTTGCAGCAGTAAAGATATTGGGCAAATCCAAAGCTGATGGGCAAGAATTCATCAATGAAGTTGCATCAATAGGAAGGATTCACCATGTTAATGTGGTGCAACTAATTGGATAATGTGCTGAGAGATCCAAGTGCGCTCTTGTGTTCGAATTCATGCCGAATGGTTCACTGGAGAAGTATATCCTTCCTCGAGAAGGAAGTATCTCCTTGAGCTGGGAGATGAAGTATGAGATTGCACTTGGTGTGGCTCGTGGAATTGAATACTTGCATCGAGGCTGTGATATTCAGATTCTCCATTTTGATATCAAGCCACACAACATTCTTCTAGATGATAACTTCATTCCGAAAGTGTCTGACTTTGGGCTAGCCAAATTGTATCCAATTGATAACAGTATTGTGAATCTAACTGCAGCTCGGGGAACAATAGGTTATGTAGCCCCAGAATTGATCAACAGAAGTATCGGAGGTGTCTCATATAAGGCTGATGTTTACAGCTTTGGAATGTTGTTGATGGAAATGGTAGGATTAAAGACAGAGTTGATGCACCCTGAAGAGAATTCTACCCAATATTTTCCATTCTGGATTTACGATCGATTCAATAAAGGTAAGGAAATTGAAATTGAAGAAGCAACTGATGATGAAAAGAAAATCACTAGGAAGATGACCTTGGTTTCATTATGGTGCATCCAGACAAATCCGGTTGGCCGTCCTTCAATGAGAAAGGTAGTGGAGATGCTCGAAGGGGAAGTTGAACATTTACAAATGCCTCCTGATCCTTGTCAAACTCCTCAAGATGCACTATTTGAGCAAGCATTCAGTGGAGAATCCACAGAGTCAGAGGCTTTGCTATGTAATTCTTCTAGTTACATCAACTCCTTGGATGTGATTATAGATTGAAAAGCTGATAGGTTAACCACAAATCACACTAAAATGCTTGGTTAATTCACAAGTTAAAATATATTTGTGTAACTCTCTTCTAGTAATGCCTGAATACATCGATGGCCTGATGATCTCAATCGGAGAAATATGAGGGTCTCAAGAAGTTCAACAATTCAAAACTTTAGGACTCCTTTTACCATAGCAGATCAAAAACATTGTATGGAACGCTTGGCTAGAATTTATTATGCACAGAGAATCAAAATCCTATTAGATGGTACATTTTCAGTAGGATAGGGGTACTAAATTATGTTGGCTTAGTCACCTTGATTGCTAAAATTTTAAAAAACAAAATTTAGTATAAAATGAAATTAAAGGTAAAGGATCTGAACTTCAATTAAGTCATGTTTTTTGAACCTATCGATGAGTTTAAACAGAGATTGAATCAAGATAGAGTACACGGATACAAAGAGGAGGCTGAAATATCAAACTTAAGAATTCGAATCAGCATTAATTTGAGTCAAAGATTTGGTTCTCCCTTTGTTTTATATGAGGTTGATCAAAAGATTGTAACTTATGTGTCATGTTGTTACTCAAATTTAAATTGGTCTAACCTTGAGTAAGGCATGGGGATGCACTTATATGTCATGCATATACATGATTTGTTTTTTCTTGTGACTTCACTTTTCTTTTATCTCCTTTCTTATGATTGCTAAGTCTATGATTTTTTTGTATTTGCAATTTCTTGGGTTATATCATAGCCTCGATATAGAGGTAGCAACTTACTAGATCGCAATCTACCTAAACCAAAAATCGAAAACCAGATGGGCTCGAGGGACGACCCTCTGCTACTTAGGTCAAAGAAGTTTAAATGAATTCAATGCTTTGGAAGCTGAATATTGCCTGCTTGATACTTGTGTTTCTGCTTGCTTTATAGATGTTTTAGCCAAGTTCTTACAATAGGATAAGGACTGTCGATGTAGATCTCAACAGGATTAGGGGTCGACCCTCTACTGGTTAGGATTAAAGCCAAGTTGGGTTGGACTAGAACTCAGGGATAGCAAGGGAGAGTTAGGTAGGGGTGACTTACCTTCGTGGAACAATGGAGGCAAGCCTTGAAGACTTCACTAGAGCCATTAAGAGTCAAGAAGATCAACCAAGTATTGTAGGGTGAGACAAATCTGGACATTTGGAAGACTCCGTAAGCATAGATTGGGAATCCAAATTAAAGATAAAGTTGTGTTGCACAAATTGTTTTACAAATCTTATATCTCAAGTGATATATCAAAATATCATGTATTGAATATTTTGTGGAGTTAGAAGACCCCACTAATCCAATCATCTGAATTAATTTGGAATATAAAATTTAGACAAATATTTATATTGCTCTCAAATTAATGGTGGAAAAAGTTCAACATATCAGCTAGACACGTGTGAATCTAAAATAACCCGGGAAAAATACAACCTAGAAAGACCCTGGTCGACCAAGGAATGGCCTAGTTGACTATGTGCCAAAAGGCCAGTCGACTAGCCCCTCTTGCTGCTTGTTAGTTGAAACTTTTTCCCAAATTCAGTCTTTTCTAAAATTTTATTCTTAAATTTAGTTTATTTTAAATTTATTTTTTAAATTCAATCTTTTTTTTAAAAATATCATTTCAAATTTTAATGAGTTAAAACGTCATTTGAAAAGACTAGTTCAAATTGAGTTTTTTTTATTCAAATCGTCATTTAGAATAATTTCTTTAAATGCATCAGTGAGAATTGCGTCAAAAAAAAAATGAATCGAAAATAATAACATATCAAATAAACACGTGTCAATCTAAAACAACCCAGAAAAAATACAAATTAGAAAGACGTTTGTCGACCAAGGAATGGCCAAGTTGACTTTGTGCAAAGGCTAGTCGAATAGCCCCTCTTGCTACTTGCTAGTCGACATGAGCTGTACGTTGGAGGTGGTGGTGGTTATGTGTAGCCGTTGTCAAGAGCGGATCCACCAAGGGCCAGGGCCCACCCTAAAATATTTCAAAAAAAAAAAATTTTATACGTATACAATTTTAATGTGAGATATTACAAACATATATTATAGGGTAAATTTCAGTGACATCACCTTGAGATTGACCTAATTGCAAGAACATGTCTTATAGTTCTTAAATATCACTATATACCCTTATAATTTATCATGAATTTTACATAATACCCCCACAATCATTATTGTTACTGACATCAAACAGGATAGTGATGTCATGCCATTTTTTACAATGAACTTCCAAATTTACCCTCAAGTTGATTCTTCAATTTTATTATCAATTGTTTTAAATATCATTAATTCAAACATTAATTTCATCATGGTAACAATAATTTTATCAATTTAACATCAAATTAATATTTAATTTTAGCATCCAAATTTAAATTTTAAAATGTTAATTTGATGACATTGAACATGAATTTGATAATATACGCATGAGAAGCATGTTCCTTACAGTTTTTTTTTTCAGTATCGTTTAATAATCCTTATGAAATTGATATTTTCGACTCGTGGATATATACCAATCAAGAAAGGGGTGAGACTCAGGACTCTGCGATTCACTTTATCTCCAATCACTTTAACATTTTTTTTAATAAACATTGTCTCGTGCCTACAAATCACAATGAAAAGGTAAAATTAAGCACATGAAATATATCTTGAATTAAGCACCATATACAAAGAGAAGACCTTTTGGGAAAGCTACCAAAATTTCAAGATCTAATTGTCGGTCTTTTTTCTATGTATTTTCAAAATCTAAAAGCACTAAATTGAATTAATTTTGAACTTTTCCCAAGGAATGTCAGATTTTTATCATGATTTTAACAAAGTTTAAAGATAAAAAATCCAAACATGTGCTATTATATTTTTGTGGAAATATCTAATAACAATAGTTATTGGAAAAAAGTATGCATTGCAGAGAAAAATTGTAAATACAATGATGTAATGGTGGCATTCTTAGAGTACGATAGATGTTAATGTTCATGCAATCTTTATGGTAGGAATTGAATCTATGCTCGAGGAGACATATCATAAGGAAATTACCCATTAGAATGATTTTTTAAGACCATTCCGGCCAAATTTGCAACAATTTTGAGTGTTTCCCTCCAACGCTCCACTGTTTTCATCCACTCCTTTTTTCTTTCATTGATTTCTCCTTTAAGTCCCTTCTCGTGTCTAGTAAAGGCTTTTGCAAAACTCCCCGTTTGTCTCCCGACTTTGGATGGATCTATATCATGGAATAAAGGTAAAACTTGTTGAGATCCTTTTGTACCGGAGAATCTCGACAAGTTCATCGAGACACCATCTTGATGAAACATAAGATTTTGAGAAGATAATTATGGAAATTTTTTATTGTTCAATGCCTTTAAGTAATTCTAACTCAATATTCTCCCGCCGTTCAATTTCATCATCATCTCTAAATGTGTAGAATCATGCTTCAACCAAAGCTGTATAGAGGTGATTGGTGAAAGTCTTGCGGGTGTCTTCACCTCTAAAGCTCAAAAACACATCGTAAACACATCGGAATATGGAAGAAGAGGCTTGGGGTCTAACAATAGCCATTGAACAAATCTAAGAGATGAATGATCAAACAATCTTAGCTTAGTTAATGTAACCTAGTACCTACGAGAAAGGTCAATAAACACAATTAGCAACCCAACAACCAATTAAATCTATTATAAAAATTAAGGACATTTTTGGAAATATGTCCATAACTAATTGGTTGATCCATGGTGTTTCAACAAAGCTAATAATAACTTTTCATGAAATGCTTGAAGGTGACTATTTCATTGTAAACTATGTCTCGCCGAAAGAATATTTCATTGTTAACTTTGGAAAAACTATGACCCTTGACTTAACATGTATTTAGTCTGGTAACAGCACACATGGACATACCGACAAACAAACTGGGATTCACCAATATGACCTAGTTATGAAACCATTTATATTTTTTATTGGGGAAGATTAAGTAGTCTAACCATCCCTCTCTTAACGAGTTTGAAGTTTTTATGTAGCCCTTATTTTTTTATAACTATATAGCATCAGGGCTAATTGTTAGAGAGCTCTAATTCTATGCCTCCATTTTCTTAGTTTGTTTACATATAATTTGTTTGAAAAATTCATAAATAGTATGAAGTCGAGAAGTTAACACATGAAAACACTTGAAACCCAAATAAAAAAAATAGGGTTAATTGCACTAGAGGTCCCCAAAATATGGGATTTGTCTCATTTTGATCTCCAATATTTCAATTGTATCATTTTGGTCCCTGAAGTATTGAATTTGTTTCTATATGGTTCCTCAAATAGATATCGTCTAGATTGCTAACGATTTTTTATCATAAATTTGTCACATAATACCTAAATATAGACCAAAAAAATAATTTTAATAGCTCTTAAATCAAATTTGGGTAGCTCTTGACAAAAAAATGTGTAATATGGGTAATTTTTGACCAAAATTTGGATAGCTCATGATAAAAAATGTGTAATTTAGATAACTATTTAACAAAATTTGAATAGAAATTTGGTCAAGAGTTATCCAATTTATTTTTGTGTCCATATTTGAGTATTACGTGACAAGTTTACGATAAAAAATTGTTAACAATCTAGACGTTGTCTGCTTAAGGGACCATATAGAAACATATTTAATACTTCAGGGACCAAAATGATGCAATTAAAACATTGGAGACTAAAATGAGACAAACTTCATATTTTGAGGACCTCTAATGCAATTTACCCTAAAAAATAAAAAGTAACTCTTAAGCAAAATAAATTAGGGTTGGAATTAGGAGTGGCAATCGTGTTGGGTTTGCGTTATGTTATTGCGGGTTCATATCGAACACTAGCTAACCCTAACCGAACCTATTTACCTAATCGTGTCGTGTCGATTGACCTATTTATTTTTATGTCGGGTTCCTGTTTGTATTCATTTTGACCTGTATAAACTTTGAATAAATAATTTATCGTTAAGATTTAAATCTAAGATTCAATTATCCATTAATTGAATACTTCCTCATACTTTTCAATAAATTAAAAATTAACTTAATAAACATAACAATAAATTAAAGATTCAAATATCCTTAAGCTTCAAGGGGTTGTTTGGTAAGTGGGATTGGGGGGCCTTTGAAAGATGAACTAAGAAAAAATAGTCCAAATGACACACAAAACTCATGTTTGTCTAAAAATATGAAGTCTGGGTTACCAAGCCCAACCCGCTA